TGACCTTTTTGATCATCCGGTGTGGCACTCACAGACAGAACAAGAGCCTGTCCAGTTCCTGACAGGAGGGCATGCCCTCAAGATTTCTTAATCCCATAAGATTTTTGGATTCCTGGTTTCCTGCTCCAGCAGCTCTCATTGGATCCCAAAGGGTGGAGGAATCTGTTTATCTACCTTCCTGCCTGTCTGATTCCAGCAAGAGCCCCGGAGGACACCCCAGTTAGTCTGTCTGCCAGTACTGCTCAGCTCAAGCAAAAGGTGGAGTTTGATCAACTCCCATTTTTTAGGACCACCCTCAAATGAGGGGGCTTGGAGTGTTCACCCTCTGACTGTTTGCTAATTAAATGTGTGAGTAAGTGAATGGAACAGATAGAGAAAGCAATAGGTGGTTCTGTCTGTACACCAAGACTGGGAGACACTGGTTCCAGTGACTGATTAGGCTGTAACCTGAAGTCCATGGCATAATGGGGGCCACCCACCCTCCTTAGCTAAGACCTGCCTCAGTCCCTGAGAGGGGAGTGGCCAGGCAGACATCTGAATGATCTCCCTCTGAGGGGCACCAACCATTTGTCTTTTGCACCATCATTCAAGGATTCACAACACTCATGTAGGAATCTAGAAATGGAAATTAATTCATCAACACACACAGTCCCTGACTGCAGGAAAAAGGGCTTTTACAGAATTAAAAATGAAACCAAACAACTCCCTGTATCTCAAAGAAAAATAAGGAATTCTTCCTGAGAATTTCACCTTGGCATCCTCGGACCTCACAGGATAGCTGCACTCCCTGCTCCCGACTTGTCTACTTCCAATCATTGGAACTGGCTCCAGCTAGCCATTGCCTGCATTCAGCGACAGAGGTTCTCCTCCAGAACCTTCTGCTTGCAGACCTATCCCAGTCAGATGGTGTCATCTAATATCCACCTAAGATGACTTAAAAATTCCTCCTGAGTTCCACATTTGGACTGAGAAAAAAGTGGACTGTCAGCACTAATGAATGAGTTACTATGTATGGCCTTTCCAAAGGTCACCTTGCCTGGAAAACCCCTCGAGTGCTTCTCAGGGACATCAAAGACAGGGCAGAAAGCCCACCAATATGTACAAAGCTACTACTGTTCCCCAGAAGCCTGCTATAAGGACTATGCACTAAAAAAGCAAATGCTCATTCAGATTTAAAAAATAAAAACTCCCAAAAGGTTTAATCCAGATCAAATGACAACACTTTCATTGGTCTGCCAGGCTCAGACTAGCCTGGATCATGCGCCCTTCTTCTGTTGGGGCACCAGGAGCCCACAGTACCATCACTGAGGCAACTAGGACTCTTCTCTCTCACCCCTTCTGCCAGGCACAAACTTGCAGCTTAGGAGGGTGTCTCCTGTGTAAACCAGTCCCTACACCACCTTCAAGCCTTTGCACTGAGCCTGTGAGCTTCCTTCTGGTTTAACCCTGCACTTTCATCTTTGAGAGGGAGATGATGCGTGCATCAGCCTGAGACAGATGAATTCAATCCTGAAGTTCTGAAAACTCTCCTCCAGAGGTATGAATTAAGCACTTGCCTCCAGGCCTGGCCATCAACCATGCCACTCACTGGGACTCCCCCCCAACATTGCTATCAGATGTCATGGGAAGCACAAATTGTCATCTGGCCACACATCAGCCCGATAATGTGTTAATCACTTCCAGCAAGTTCTCCATGGCATCAACAATGCAGCACTTTACACTATGCAGCTCCTGACCCACACTCCATTTTTGGACTCTTCTAGATAAATCCTTCTGCTTGTGAGTTGTTTCCATCAGCCACTTCAACTAGGAAACTCCTGAGACAAAAGACTGGTTTGCCTGGACTCAGTTGTCATAAGGGGTTAATACTCTCCCACTATTTTGGGGGAGGCCCTGGATGAAAAAAAATGAGGCTTCAAAACTTCAAAATGTCACTCCACTGTCAAATGGCTGAAATACACCTCTCCTGCCTGAAAAGCCAGTTCAAGATGTTCCGGCTGCCAATTCTGCATACATTGTCTCAGTCTTCTGCCACATCAGCCCCACTCGTACACCCACCTGGAGCTAAAACCTACCTTCTTCTGCCTTTGATTGTCTCCTCTAAATCAGTCCCTCTTGACATTGAAAATTTAAAAATCCCGGTTTTGGACTCAAAACCCAACTGACCTACACTTAGTCTCCCAAAATTTAAAAACTTGTTTCTTCTTTTAAAAACACTTGTGATTAATGCTATTCAATCTGTCTGCTGAAAAGACACAGCAGCTCGGCTACATATCTGCGCAAACTGTACAAGACAAGAAATTCCACAAATTTCTTGGAGCTGCTGGCTTCTATAAAATCGAGATCTTTTTCACAAAAACAATGAGGTTTACTCAGAATGTCAGCCCCTGGGAGGACCCAGCGGCCTACCTGTGAAAATACTTCGGTCCAATCAATAAGGGCTGCTCTCCCCCAAGTTTGTGTCACACTCTGAAACCACTGTCCTTCTGATCAAGAAAACTTACAAGCTCACCCTGGGGGTGAGACCTAACTTCCCTGTACTGGACCTAAAAACAAACCCCCTAACAGATGCTGAGCATACCCTGTTCACAGATAGAAGCAGGCTCTGCTAAGAACGGGGTCCAACAGGCTAGACATGCTGTGGTCACCTCAGACAAAGTTATTTAGGCCATAGCTCTCTTGCTGTGGCTTCCTGCTGCCCTTCGGAAACCTGCAACCAATGGCACCAACTCCTAAGCCGCCTCCGGAGATCCATTTGACTTCAACAACCCCAGCCAGAAATCCCAATGTTCCCACAAGATCAGAGCCAGACCTCTCCCAGCATTTGTTCTGCAAGCTCTCGCCACTGAGCTGGCAACCATACCCCTGCAGCCAGCACAGGCTTCAGTGTCTGTGGCACTGACCCTGATCTAATACAATGTAATAGATTCTACACAGAAATAGAACATAACCCTACAGGAACAGCTTGTAACCAGTTATAAAGCCAAGTGTACCTGCAGAGATTCCTGCACACAAATATAACCCAGGCACATATTAACAATCTCCACAAGAATCAGAAACCCAGCCTTAGATTCACAAAAAAAGTTACCTTGACAACCCCTCCCAGGCTCACTCTGAAGGGACAATGCAGGCAAAGCCCTGCACCAGTCACCCTGGATGACAACCAACACACACACGACTGAAGCAGTGTTCCTGCTTGCTGTTCCCAGGATTGCTCCACACCTATTCCCCTTGAGTTTTATGTCTTTGCAGGCTGATTACCCCAATCCTTTTTTCTCTACCCCCTACTAGCTGTGGGTTTTTTTTTTCTGACTTTAACTTTATTGACATTTGCCCCAAGAGAATAGAAAATACAGTCAAACTCTTGGCCAAGACTTTATGAGCATCCAAGGCACGTTGAACACTCCCCTGGATCAGATTAACTCATTCACTCCTTTGTCAGAGTCAACCACTTTGAAACTCTATAAGAAGGGAAACAAACAACACACTCCTGGTGGGAAAACTTACACTCTTGGGAAATTTAACTAGGGTCCATGCTAAGATCACTGTCAACCCTATTGCTTCTAGTCAGGTCTACTCTCAGAAGATCATATGTAATGTGCCCAGTAAAAGTTTTCCACTAAAAGGAGGGGGTTGGCGGCAAAGGTAGCCAAAACCGCTTCCCTAGCCAGTATACTCTAATTTTTTGATGCCCATGTAATAGTCCATGTTTCAGTTCTGATTGCTTGCATCTGATTGCTTGAGGCTGCTCACTGTGATGCATAGCTGGTCACTATGATACACACTGTATAAGTCAATCCCCAATTGACAAGCCATTCTCTCTCTGTATTTCCTGCTTACTTATTGTATATAAGACCTAGATCACCAGACATCAGGACCTGAAAATTTGGGAATGACCCCAGTCAGTGTCCATTGATGTAAATTCATCTGGCTCCAAATCCTGCATCTCGTTTTGGTGTTTCTGCTTGTCATTGCACTAGGTGAGCCTTTTGGAAGGTGGCCAGATCATAGCTGTGTGACACGGGATTAATGTACAGATTAGTGTAGTGTGCTTTCGGTGGGTAATGGACATGCTGAAGAGGGAGGACTCATCCTGGGGGTTGGTGGCACAAAACAACAGGCATGTATCTTGGATAGAATAAAAAGGGAAAAAAAGAAAGCTCATGGCTATCTGTCTGTCATGCCACAAACTATTCTTTTCTGCCATGCCCTTTAGTCATGAGAGAGACAGGAAGATAGGGTGAGTAACAGAGAGACAGACATACACAGACAAGCAAGATGAGGAGGAGAAAGGGGAGAAGATGAAGACAAGCCAGTATCTTTCATAAACATAGACATAACATTCTTAACAAACCATTACCAAAAGTATTTTATTTGTTTAGCAATAAATGGGAGGAATCATCATTAGGGTTTCTCCAGGTACATAAGACTAGCTCTCAGTTGGAAAAATAATCAATGCTATCACAGTATTACCATGCCAAAGAAGAAAAAGCTACATAACCTTTCGTGTGGTGATTTTTTAGATATAACACCAAAAACATGATCCATGAAAAAGGTTTGTATATTATACTTTATAAAGTTAAGACTTCTGTTTGTTAAAAGGAAAGGAAAACTAGTACACAAGAAGATAGGAATTTGGTAAAGGGGTTTGACGTGTTCAAAGTATGTAATTAGCATGTGTGCAATTCAGCAATGAATTCCAATAAAAAATTACAAGGAGAAGAAAAAAAAGAATTCCTGTCCTGAAAAAGATACTACTAAGAAAACAACACGACCATCCACATACTGGGAGAAAACATGAAATAAATGTCTATGGGATCAGGACTTGTGTCCCAAATATAGGAAGAATTCTGAAAATTTGATTATAAGAAAACAACTCAACTGAGGATGGGCAAGACTCTAAACAGATTCCTCATTAAAGATCATATACAGGTGGCAAAGAAGCATATAGAAAGATGCTGAAAATCACATGTAGTAGATTATAAATTAAAACGATACGCCTGAGAATGATGTAAATACATAAATAGATGGTGATGTGAAACGTTGCAAAGGTAGTGAATCATCAGAAAGAAACTCATTCATTGCTCATGGACATGCAAACTCTAACAGCAACAGTAAAAGTGTGTTGGATATCGCTGAGCAAAAATAAACATTGTCTTACTGTATGTCTGAAAATCACACTCCTCAGTGTTCACACAAATGTACTCAAAATTTAAATCCACACACAAACCGCACAAGGATGATTCGAGCAGCTTTTTTCCATAATTGCCAAAACCCAGAAGCAATTGAGCTGCTGCTCCATACCTGAGTGGTTATGCAGTGGTGCATCCATAAATAGAATGTTATTCTGAGATGAAAACAGACAACTTCCAGCCACAAGATGCATGCAGGAAGGTTAAATGTATACTGCTAACTGAAAACCACCAGAGGTCGATGGCTATGCTTTAACTGCAAGTGTGTGAATTTCTGGAAAAGGCAGCTCTTTATTGAGACAGTGAAGTACTACTTGTTCCCAAGCTTTGGAAAGCAGCTGCATCAGGGGTAGCGAATAGATCATACTAAACAAGGTGTTAACAGAAGGAGAAAAGAGACTGTGAATTGAGGGGAAAATGAGGGAACTTTTTGTGTGACTTTTAAAAAAACTCTTGATTCTGAAGATCGAATTTTTATTTATAATTAAGTTTAGACAGTGATCACATTTATTTAGGAAATACGTTTGCGTGCATGATATAACTTGATTCATTTTTTCCTGTTTCTCTATCCTCTTTTCAACCCCTCTTCCTCTCATTTACTAAAGCTTTATTTCCATTTTTCTATTTTTTCTTTCCTCCTTTTCCTTTCATTTCTCCATACTGTTCTCTCCATTTGAACATGTTCTTCTAATTTCACCATATCTGTTATAATTTTGGTCCTTATTTACACCTTTGCTTTCTTACACCAGAGAAACCAAGCAGTATTTACATATGTGGGTCTGTTTTATTTCACTTAAGAGTGTGCTGCATTCATTTAGTTAGAAATGTCACTGGATTTCACAGTACGACACTACGAAAACAGAATTGTGTACCTTAGTGTCTCTTTTTCTTCAAAGTAGCTGTTCATTTCATCATGCATTATATAATCAATACTCATACAATGTTTTAGGAGAAGTCCTACACATGTGTCTCTACATATATACCTATCCTTTCTGTATTAGAAGGAAAAACAAAATGAATTCCTAGAAAAACATAAAACAAGACAAATACGTAACAGTAGCAAAGAGTCCAAAACACTGACAATATAGGCCTTCAAGACAAGGTGATGTTGTCGCTGCCAAAATTTTTTTCAACCGTAGTTCAAGAGTTCTACCTATTCAGTCTTTCAGCAGATTTTGTGTTGCTGTTTTAAATACTTAGAACTTTCATCTGTCTTGAGTTTAGTACAGAGCACAGTGAAAGACATAGGTCTAATTTTAACCCTTGTCTGGTAGACAGCCAGTTTTTCCAAACAATTTATTAAAAGAGACATCTTTCTTCTAGGGAATGCATTTAGCTCCTTTGTCAAAAATAACATGACTAAGTATAATCTGAATTGTTCTGCATTTTCTAATCTGTTCCATTGATCCTCATGATATAGGGGAAAGAAACTCCCAATCTACTAGTCCTGTAAGAGATCTTGTTCTCTAAAATCAAAGAATGAATTTTAGGAACAGTGGAGGTTAAGAGCAGGACATATTTCTTGAGGGAAAGAAAGCTTCTGTCCAAGAGAGAGACAGAGGGATGTCCAAGTGGGTGGCCGTAGACCCTGCCTTTTCTAGGGATCTAGTAGAGCAAAACAATAAGGTGCAGGAGGTCCAAGGTGGGGGGAAATGGAAACTCACAAGGTGGGACAGAACTATCGTCAACCAATAAGATAGCGAGTATAACCGCTAAGGTAACATTGATTAAATCAGGATCCAACGGGGAAGCGAGTCAGATAGCAAGCATACATGAATTCACAGCAAGCATTCATATATGAATATAGAATAAGGCCTTTGTCTGTAGTGAGTCAGGTTAGTGGCTTCTCTAGCTTCCTCAAAGTGATTGATACCAATTTAGAATATAAATCCTGACGTTTATCCTTAGGGTATGGGTGCATTTGTTTTATTTTTTGGGTGAAGGTCTGGCCCACAGGCAGCAGAGTTTGTCACCCCTACAGCTGCAAGGTACCTGGCCTTCTGCACTGGCTCCTTCAAGGGCTTAGTCCTGTCTGACTGCCAATAATGTTCTATCTAACTTAGCTACCTATCTAACTCAGGTGTGGCTTTTGCCAGTACCATGCTCTTTTTTTTTTTTTTTTAAATCACAGTACCTTTGTAGTATAATTTCAAGTCAAGTATTGTGATGTCTCCTCTTCTTTGTTTTTGCTGCTCAGGATTGCCTTTGCTATTCTAGGCCTCTTCTAGTTCCAAATGAATTTCAGGATTGTTTTCTCTTCCTGTGATTTTTTTTATTGTGGGTGCTTAACCTAAAAGCATTAGAAACATTAAATTCCATCATGTAATCATTGCTTTGCTCTATTGAAGAACCCATTCAGAGAACGAAAAATGAACTACAGAGAAAGAGAAAATGTTTGTAAATACATATTTTACAAAGCATTAGCTTCTAGTACAAATAAAACTGAAAATGCAACAGGCAACCAGCAAGCCTAGCAAGGTGAAAGAGACAGGAATAATCATTCCATCAAGAGCAAACACAAGTGATAAATGAACACATGGACAGTGGGCAGTGAGGTCACAGCCAGGGGAGCAGATTTGATTGATAAGGACACAGTGATTACTCTGTGGATTTTGCCACTTTATTATGTGCATCAACAGTAACAGGGGGAAAAAAAAAAAAAAACCAGTAACAGGAAGAAGGAACAGCTCCTCGTTGTCCTTCCTGCAAACACCAGAAAACATGCATTGAGACAGAGGACTGGCTATTGCAATATGGAAGCCCAGCGATAGAGGGCAGCTGTGTGGTTTGATGGATTGTAGCTACACCCGGAGGTTATTCCTATGAGAGGAATGGACCAAGACCTGTCTCATGATGTTCTCCCAAGGAGCTTAGGGGAGCAAACAGGATGTGGTCTCATGGTAGGGGCTCTCAAGCCTCCATCCTCCAGTGCTGTGGCAAGAACAGGTTATTCAAGCCCTGATCTGTGACCTCACAGACACATTCATTTAAAATAATCATGAGCCAAGTATGGTTGTGTTATCAGGTGGTTTCTTTGGAAATGGCTCCCCAGTTAAATGTATTCCAACTCTTTCTTGGCTCAAAAAAAGAACTCAACTAGACAAGTCAAAAATAGTGTGAAAAGTTTGTTTGAAAAGAAGTGGGGAGGGGAGAGGGAAAAACTGGCTCTGCAGAGAGAACTGGAGTCAAAAAGAAGAAAAGAGAGAAAGAGCAATAGTAAAACTACACCATGGTCTAGAAGACACATACGGCGCTACCATTAAGAGTCAGTCGCCATAAAGGCTCCTTGTGGCATCTGTGTCCTCATAGGTCATGCATCTGCTGCGAGCCCATGAGATATTCCACATGCAGGGCCCTGGTATCTGGCCCTGTTCTGTGATCCAATAATTAACAGGTCGCATCTTCCCCAGCCATCTTGGCCATGCCCTAACTCCTATCTCAATTGTGCTTAACTCCAGCACTCAGAGAGTAAGTCAGGAAGTTTGACAGATTCAGCCCAGAGTGGAGATTTAGCAAGCTGACTTCTCAAAATAACCATAAAAGGCTGGATAGACTCAGTTCTGTACCCACTACCCTGGATTCTCTCCTCAATATCCCTACATTTAATAAAAATTAATTCATGCTCCCCAAAACCAAGGTGCAATCTCATATTTGAGGGCTCCTTTTATATCTGATTGCAAATCTTTATGAAGCACATACTCTGTGCAAAAAACTGCAGAGAACACAAAAGAAAGAAGATGTTGACAATCAGCCTATTGTCAATCTAAAGCCCACACCAAGTGATTGTGTGTAAGTGCCCTGGGTTCCATCCCCAGGGATAAGAGGAGAGAGGGAGAGAGAGAGAGAGAGAGAGAAAGGTGAAAAGACACAAAGACAGAAAGAGAGAAAGAAATTGAGAAAAATCATCACCAAAAATATTGCATGAACCCTAAGCCTGAGCGTACTAACCAAGGGAAGTATCAGGTCAGAAGAGAGAGGATTTAATGGTAACTATGGGACATATATAGTGATCAGGAAATAGTGGAGGGTACTGAACACTTTCACCAGTAAAAATAGAATGGAAAAAATAGATTTGACATCCTCTGACAGTTAATTCTAGATTTCAACTTAACTAGATTAAAGAATACACAGTGAGATCTTGTCTCACAATCAACACAACCAGAGAGATACCTGTAATCCCAGCAGTCTGCAGGCTGACACAGGAAGATCACAGCGAAGTCCAAGCCAGCGTAGGCTACATAGGAAGACCTTGTCTTAAAAATAATAAGCAAACAATAAAACTAAACAAACAGAAAAAATTCACTTTTCTTGTTAAATATCTGTTAGTGAAAATTTCCTTGAGCGCTTTTTCTTTTGTCTTATTTTTGTTTGAAACATACATGTTTGCACACAATGATCTGGAAGCATGCATGTATGAGATATTCATCCCTGTCAGTGATGAGTTCTGAAGGCAGAAGGTGACAGCTTGTTGAGTGTTGTCTATACTGGAGCCTGTGCTGACCACTCAGTGTTAATCCAAGCATCCGCCTACAGGTAATTTTCACAGAGAGAACTGGGCAGCCCGTGAAGTGCTCCCCAAGAACAGCAGTGCTGTCCATCAAGGACACCAGGGGATCCTCTACAGTCAGCCCACTGTGGATCCTGACCATTGAGAGGTGTGTCCCTCCCAAGGATGGAAAGTCAGCTAAAGCAAGATGGGGGAGAGGAGTCAGGTGATCTAAATAATCACCAGAAACTGAGCCCAGTGCTAGTGATAAACAGCAGGGCAGAAAATTATCCAGCAGTTTTGTTTTCTCTAATGCCAGCAGTCCTTCAGTTACCATTACAGGCCTGCTAAGCAGCTACCTCCCAGGCTACTACAGAGTGGGTTCTGCGGGGCCTTCCTGGGCCATACAGGCCGTCAGCAGGAGTGGAAATACCGACCTATATCTATGGACCTCTGATGTCCCAAGGGAACAAAAGTGACACCCCCAAAGTCTCTTTTTTCCCCAAGGCTCACCTGGGTATGTGGGTGAGTGGGGAGAGGGATAGTGTAGGGAAATCCTGTTTGGGATCTGGGGTAATTCTAGTAGATCAGAAGCATAAACCTCGGGGTTAGAGTGGGCCTGGACTCAGGGGTGGGATCAGAACCTTGTTGAGTTTGGGGACAGCAGGCAGGGAGAGGAGCAGGAAGGGACCTGGCCCAACCTGGAACTCAGGAGTCAGAGCCCCTGTAGAGGATCTTTTCTCCTTCTACACACCCTTATGTTTTGTCTTACCTTAGCTGAGAAGGCAGTGAGAGAAGAGGAAGGAGCCAGGAGACAGGAAGCAAAAGAGCAGCATGAATCACCAGGGCCCCGAGTCACGGGGACAACTGTTTGCATTTTTCCTGGGAGGCTGAGCTATTTTGCTGACTCGGTGACAAATTCCTTAAAGGGAGGACTGAGGAGTCAATGGGCTACCAGGCTCAGGGACAAAAAGAAGAGGTCTCACTCGGGACCTGAGCCAAGGTGAGCGTCTGCTGCAGCAGGGAGGCAGAAAGAGCCCGGGTAGGGAGCCCAGGGTTCTGCCAGGCAGAGCAGGAGACCCGCAGGGCCAAGTCCCCGTGGGACAGATCTCAGGAGAGCTCCTATGGCCCAAGGTTTTAAAACTGTAGAACTGAGAGCAATTGCTGTTGATATGACCAAGGTAAATCACTCCCCTGAATCTGGGAGCTAAAAAGCAGAATTAGAACTGTGAATGCCCTAGCAAGAGTTTATAAGACAGAAGAGGGGAGAAATGAGAAAAAAAAAGTCTCTCACCCTACAAGATCTGTAAAATACCAGAGTGCTAGTGGACAAGGACACAGAGCTGTTTGGTTTCCATTTCCTGAGACAGCACTTCTGTCCCAGCCCGCTGACCAGTTAGGCAGCCACTTCCCGTTGTGTTCAGTTTCTAATTCCTCAGAGCACAGCATCAGCCAGAGAACTGCTCCTCTCCTGATTCTACCTCCGAGGCACCTGCGTCAGAGGCCTGACCTGTGGCCAGGACTTTTCACAGCAGTGTAAGTATCCTGACGCTCACGTCTCTAATTATTCTGCAGCAGCGCTGGCTGCTTTTAACAAGCTCCTCACCCTGCTGCCTGCTTGTCAGCAAGCCTCTCTCTGCCCTGTGCTCACTGGTTTCCTGGATTCCGGGCCTTTCTTCCTATGCTGATCTATTAACTTCTACCATAGATTTACGTGATGTCAAGTGGAATTTCAAAGGCTTTAGAAATATTAACTCATTCATTTCTAACAGCAATTTTATGAGTACTTCTTATTATTGTTACTATTTTTCTAAGGTAAAGAGCTCCCAAAGCCATAGAGCTACAAAATGACAGAGCAGGGATTTAAAGGCAGTAAGCGTAGTCTCAGTCCCTGAATTCTGTGGCCCCTCTGTGTGTTTTGCAGCCCAGCAGGCCCTTCAAGACTGATCTTGGTAGACACAAACAGCCAGTGGTGCTGCTCTCCTGTGCTGGTGGAAACACTGAACACATGGAAAAGTTTGGGAAATTTATCCAGAAACTCAGCAAAAATAGGTGCATGCATTTTGAAAGTTCTTTAATAAGTGTCCCGATCTTTCCCTGTATTCTCAATTTCTTATTTATTTCGTTCCATTGTATTTACATTTTTAAATCTGTGTGAAACTCTATCTCTGAAGTGCACTGAATATGCAAGAAGTGCTTGCTATAATGTTCCTTTAAACTGAAGAGACGTTAGGAAGTGCGTTCAGATTTTTCTTTTCTTTCTTTTTTTTTTTTTTTTGCCAAAACATCTAAAAAGTTTGAACCATAAGCTATTTTGGATGTAGTTAGCAAAGAAAAAGTATCAGGTGGTACTGCTTTGGCATTAGAGAGTGTGAGATTAGGACAATATTGACCTCTGAAGTCCACAAAAATCCAAGGCATATCTCATAAACAAACTGATAGAAGGTTTCTGGAATGCAGAACAGAATGAAGAACAGAAATTTTGATGCAAGGACCTAAATCAGATAAAAGTGTAATGTAGTGGATGCACCACCCTTCGGTTTTCTAAAAATTTCTTCTCAATTTTTTCACTGCTCTGTCAGTTTTTCCTTTTGCCACCTGTGTCAACATCTGCCTCGCCTGTCCAAAGTCCCTCGGTCCTTACTAACAAGTAAGGATTGCAATTTCCAGACATTAGAATGGGGTGGATTTACTGTAGGAAAGGAAATAGGGCTCTCACAGAAAGCTTTCACACATTTCATGTAAAGCAGATGAGGTCAAATGACTTTTGAATTTGGTTGTCTTTATTTTCAAATCATCATACTAGATATTTTTTGATTGTATTAAGCTTTTAAGTAACACTTAATCTTAATTACTCAAACTTCATTTTAGGTTTCTTTTACTAATACATGTTTCCAATAAATAGAGATTACATTCAGGTTGGGGAATAAAGATCTCACATCATCAATTTTTCTTTTCAGGACCCTCATCTCCTCCCCTGACCCTCCTTTGCCAAATTCCCTTCCCACTTGTATGACGACTACTTCCCTGCTCCTTAACAAGACTCTTTCATTTTTCTCCTCACTTCTTCATATTTTGTGTGTGTCATGTTAGAGCTGCCGTGCAATGGCACCTGACATATTTTTGGAACTGACATATTTCACTTCACACTGTGGCCTCAAGATCTCTCCATCTCCTAGAAATAACTCAAAACTGTCTGCTCTGTGGCTGAGTGGTTCTGCCGGCCTTCACCATCTATCATTCTCCATTGCTCTAACTTTAAGTTTTCTCTGTCCTTGTGTAATTTCCCTTACTCAGACCTCCTGGTTAGCCCTCGAGCGTCTTCCTTTCCCCACCCTCCAGATCTCCACCATCTCACAGTGGAAGAGCACTCTCCCACCTGCCTACCGCCAGTACTCTAAACCTACCTTTGCCCAGGCCAGACATTTCCTCTGTGCTCCTCCTGGCTGTCTTTGGGCTCTAGATCACATTCTTTCTCCTGCTGTCTCCTCAGGACCCTCGTTATTTCCATTATCCCACCTTCCTTCTCCATCTTTACATTTTCACGTCCCTGCGGGGGCCTTCCTGTCCATGTTACATATTTTCAAACCTTTTCATTTTTAAAGGTAAAACAACCCTCAACTTCTTTTTTCCAGGTGCCTTTCTTGTACCAGTCCCCCTTCATAGTTTCACAGACTGAACATGTTGTCTCAGTTGATTATGCTACTTCCATACCCCCACTCATTCCTTGACCCCTTGTGACTAATTAAGGATGATTAATATAGGTTTACTGAACATTTGTGGACCAAAACACAGTACTAAATGCTTGGTGTGAATGATCTTATTTAATCCTCACACTGACAATCATTTTAAGGTAGGTGCTCCCTGTGTTCTGAAAATTATTATTAATGCATATTAAATTGTATGTTTCAGTGGGTTTTACTTTGACATTTCCTTACCTGCATCAGTCGTTATTTGAGCATATCCATAACTTCCCTTCCCCTCTTTTCTCTTCTCCATAACTCTGTCCCTTTTTTGTTCAAGATTGTCCCTATACGACTTTTAGATTACTTTGTATTCATCAAGTTTCTACCTATGAGTTAGTTTTTTTTTTTTTTTTTTTTTTTTTTTTTACCAGTACCAGGGATCAAACCCACGACCACGCGCTTGCAAGGCAGGCGCTTATGCCACTGAGCTAAATCCCCAGCCCGCCATGAGTTAAATTTAATGAGCTCTCGTTCCAACCATTTTCCTGCTAATGACATACTATTATTATTCTGGGTTGTCCATTGTGAGTATACCTATTTTGTTGTTGTTCATTCATCTCTTGATGTGCACCTAAGTTATTTTCACAACTTGGCAATTGTGAGTAGTGCTGCAGCAAGCACAGTCAGGCAGGCATTTCTTTGAATATACCCTATTTTATTGGTATGCAGTTTTCCAGGTGTGGTGGTGCATGTCTGGAGTCCCAACTTTCAGGAAACTGGGGAAGAACGATCATGAATTTCAGGCCAATCAGAGTAATTTAGAGACTATGCCTCAAAAAAGAAAGCCAACAGGATTGGAAATAGTAAATATCTAAGCTAACATTGCATTGTGTTGCTCAGTCCCTAGTGGTCTGAATGCCATTTCTTAAGCTCCTCAATTACTTCAATTTGGCACAATCTCATAGCACTTTCCATTTACCACCTAAGCTGTCTGATTTGTTCTTTTATTTCTTTGTCTAAAAACATATTAGACATAGAGTACATATTTTCTACTAAACAGAAAAGTGGGCTGAGTGTGTAGAGCAATTAATTTTGTGGTGAATGCGAAACAAACTTTCAAGTAGTTCAGTTGTAGAGTCAACATGCAGACAAATGACTGCTGCCTCCTGGTGGAAAAAGCAGTCTCAGACTTGGTTATCAGTGTAGGAAGGTGATTCATGGTGAAAAACACAGAACAAAAACTGCAGAAACCTCAGAAAGATAAAGAGAAGGAGAGTTTTGCAGGCTACATGTGCTTTGAAAAACTCAGAAGGAGCAGTGATTAGGATGGAAATGGTAAATGAGGATGACCATCCGTGGGGATGGGTTTGGACTTGGAGCAGGCCTCGAGAGAGCTGATTCAGTCTTCATATCCTCCAGCACAAGCCACAGGGGAGGTGCTTCTGTGTTTTTATTAAATGTTGGAGCAGTGGCATTTTCCCTGAAGACAATTCCACTAAGCCCCACATTTGCAGGCTGAGCTCTTCCCTGTACTCTAGCTCTGACTCCTCTGTGCTTCTCATGCGTTCAAAAAACGCATTTGATTTCCTAAAGACCCAGAAAACGAATGCTCATTCATGAAGAATTTCTACCAAGATTTTTACATCATAACATCTCTGAATCATATGCTGCTTTCCAAGTTTTCCAAAGGAACAAAATTAGATGTGTTCCCATCCTACCTTTTCCTGAGTCTGAATCTGTGGAGTTTAAACAGTTCTCCACAAAACACATTCAGGAATATGCAAACAGCATAATTGCAGAGCACATCTATACACTTGCAAACACACTGGAGGAGTCTGTCTTTTCATTGGAGTGAATGACAAGAGTAAGAGAGACATCCCAGACTGCAGGAGTCCAGCTCTGGGCTCCTGCATTACAGTCAGTAGGGCAGGCCAGCTGGAAGACAGTGAGTTTGGCATCCAGGCCTCCTCCATTGCATCCTGGAAGACAGGCCAGCTGAAAGAATGTAACATTGATCAGTACACTAAGAGCCAGGACAACAGCCTGGGCCACAGAGGCACACATACCTCTTGAGGGCAAAGTAATCAGTGGGCCAGTAATGTGGAAGTATCTGAGGCAGTAGTGAGGAGACAGCAGTTGGAGTTTGGAGAACTCCACCCAGACGACCAGTGTCTGCCACCACATTCAAAGGCCAAGATCTGCTCTATACCCAGCACAAATCTGAGATGCAATTCATACATTATCACAGAACGTGGTAGTTTTCTATAAAGCACCTTAGCAGCACTGCACAACATAGACCAGTACCTTGCACACTGGGTAAAAGTCATGAAAAAGGAAAGTCATTCTGTGATCTTTCTGTCTTCTAAATTTTGAATTTGCTGTAGTGACTTCATGTATTTCTTTCCCTGGCTGCTTCTTTGCAGAAGGTTGATGTGTTTATTTGGCCTTCCAAGAAACAGAACCTCTTTTCTGAATTCTTGATATTCCTCTTTGTAATATTGATTTAGAACTGGGGAGATTCTTAAGATAACTCAGTCATTGATAGAGCAGGCCTTAATTGTTTTACAAAAGTGAGAGCACTGTGATGATTATTCAATCCTTTAAAACTATAATCTCCATTATGGACTTGATCAAGCATTAATTGTGATAACATTGTCATACTGCAGAAATTTTAGGCCAAGAGAAAAGGAACATCAACTAGTTTTCGTTAGCTTTCAATAGGACAGAGTACTTGAGATTAAAATCTAATTGAAGAGTGTGAATAAGCTCTACAGTGAACAGAAGTAGGAAAGAAATCAGTGAGTTTGCTGGTGATGCGGCTCAGTGGTATAGCACTGGTCCAGTGGGACCAACACCCTGAGATTGTCTTCCATCACTGAAAAAAGAAATCTCCATCATCACCATCAAAACTCTATTTATGCCAACTTTTCTGTTTATTTTTATTTCTCATTGCTCTTTAATGTATCCATCTCAATTTTACACCATTCTGTGTGTGTGTGTGTGTATATGTGTGTGTGTGTGTGTGTGTGTGTGTGTGTGTGTGTACTGGGGATAAACTCATGACCTCATGCTTTCCAAGCAGGCGCTTATGCCACTGAGCTAAATCCCTGGCTAAGTCATTTTTTTTAAAAGAATAAAACCAAATGAGAAAGAAAATAAAACAGGATCATTCGAAATAAAAAGATGGACATAGTACAAGATTAAAACCACAATACAAGGTGATCTACAGTAGTTACCATGGTATCTCTTGTTATCTTCAATAGAATTGTCTGTATCATCAGGCATAGTATAATTGAACATAGCAGTACATAACTATTAATAAAAAAACATTAGAGACATTATAGGACTTCAAAAGCAGGTAACAGT